ATGTTTACACGTATAATTGCATTGGATTTCGCTTGTGCGAATAAGGAATTATTACAAAAATGGACTTAAATGATTTTTCTGTTTGGCGTGCCATAATGACTAAAAATAAAACTGCAATCGTACATATACATATCGTGTGTATGTATATCCGTATATCGAGGCAAAAGTGTCATGTAGCCATTTATCGCATGTAAATGCTATTTTATATAATTTTTGTGTTTTTTCTTTTAAATTTTAATACTTGCTTATTTTTTTATTTTGTTTAATTTTATTTAATATTATTTTAATTTATTTATTTTTGTTTTTTACTCCAATTTATTTTAGACTAATTTTAATATACTTTAATTTTTTTACTTTACTTAATTTTATTTCGTTTTATTTTATTTTATTTCTACTTATATTATTTTATTTTTTTTATTTCGTATTAATTTATTTTACTTTACTTGGTCTTATCTAATTTCAAGTTATATTATTTTATTTTACTTAATTTTAATTTTCTCCTAATTAATTTTTATTTTAGCTTATTTCATTTCATTTTTTTATATTATATATTCATTATATTTAATTACTTTTCTTTACTTTATTTTTAACATTTTACATAATATTATTTCCTAGTTTAATTTTAATCATTTTCTGTAATTATTATTTTGTTTTTTACATCATTTATCTTATATTATTATCATTTTAATTAAATTAATTTCATTTTGTTTTATTTATTAATACAATGATATCTCTTAGATTAATTCTATTTCATTTATTTTAGCATATTTCATTTTATAATATTTTTCAATATTACTTTTATTTAAAATATTTCATATAATTACAATATATATTATTATATTTTATAATTATAGATTTTATTATATATATTTATTTAAGATAGTTTTCCTTCATTTCACTTTAATTTATTTTATTCAATTTAAATTTATTTTTTTTTGCATTCCTTTACCTTTATATTAAATTTTATTTTACTAATATGGCTTACTTTATTTAATTTTATTCTATTTTATATTATTTCTTATTTAATTTAATTAAGTTTAATTTATTTAATATAATTTATGAATATTTAATATTATTACATTTCCATTTATTTTGTGTATTTATTTTAATTTAAACTTATTTAATTTTATATTATTATGTTATTTATTTTATTTTTTATTTTATTATGTAAATCAACATTTTATTTTATTTCTATTAATTTGCTTAGTTTTTATTTTCTTTACTTTATTTTGTGTAATTAAAATATGTTTTATTTTATTTTATTATTATTGAATTAATTATATATATTTATTTAATTTTGTTTTGCTTTATTTCATTTTAATTTATTTCTTTCAATATAGGTTAATTTTTTTTTGCTTTGCTACATTTTATTAAATTTATTTCTTTGGTAATACCTTATTTAATTAGATTTGAATCTAATTTTTATTATTTTTTAGTTTATAACTTTTGATTTAATTATATATATTTTTTTCTTTAATTTAATTTATATTTGTTAAATTTATAATTAATTTTTTTATTAATTTAATTTAGTTTAATTTATTTTATTTAATTTAATGCAATATAATTTTGTTTGTTAAATAAAAAAATTATTAAATTATTATTTTTTTTCTTGTTTTTTCCCCCTTTTTTAAATTTGCTTTAATTTAATTTATTTTATATAATTAAAATATATGTTGTCTTATTTTATTTCATTATTATTGAATTAATTATACATATTTATTTAATTTTGTTTTGCTTTATTTCATTTCAATTTATTTGTTCAATTTAAGTTTTTTAGCTTTGCTATTATTTATTTCATTTTATTTTATTTCGTTTTTTATTTTATTTTATTTTATTTTATTTTATTTTCTTTTATTTTATTTTCTTTTATTTTATTTTATTTTATTTTAATTTATTTTATTTTATTTTATTTTATTTTATTTTATTTTTTTATATTTAATTTTATTTTACTTTATTTTGTTTTATTTTCATAAAATATTTTAATTTATTTATTTTTTGAATAATGTTATTAAATTTTATTAAATAAAAATTTATTTGATTTTTTATAATGTTTTGCAATTTGTTTTATTTTTATTAATATGATTTTATTTTTTATTATTATTTTTAAATTATTTTATATGATATAAATATATATGTATTTTTTTATTTTATTTAATTTTAATTTTTTTATATATTCGTTTTATAATATTTTATTTTTATTTTTATTTTCGGTTAGAGAATTACAGAGAATTGGGCTTCTGGAAGACGAATCAGGTCATGAAAAAATAAATAGATTTCTTCTCTTTCCAATCAAAAGATTATTTCTGATTCCATACTTGGCTGTTTCCCATAACCTCTATGGCTGTCATCACTCGGCGTTGGGCGTGCAGCAAAACAGCGCGTAGCAGTAGTTGCAGCCAGTCAATTTGAGCGATTCCTTTTCGCCACTTGCTACTCTATGTCGGTTCTGTTCCGTTCTTTTTAGCTGCTCTTCAGACTCTATTCTTCCTCTTCTTCTCCTTCTTGGTTATTTGCTCTTTGCAGGCCAAACGATTTGTTGCGCACAAATTAGCCACAGTTAAATTGAATATTTTTTAACATATCATTCGCCGCTGAGGAGTAATTACTGTGAAATGGACTTGAAAATTAAGTAAGTAGTTGAATATTTACGAGTCGGCACATCCACACACACACACACACACATTGTCAGACCTGATTCGCTAGCACACACATGCACACACCGGCTGATTAGTCGCTTGCATACTTTAGTTGCGCATTATGTCGACAACAACAAAAACAACAGAAACAAGTGATTTCTGGTCGAAATCTTCATCATCATACTGAGTGCGGCAGAGCTGACTGTCGGCTTCAGTATTCTTCAGCGAAGTCGTTTGCAAATTTTGTAAAATTATGAATGCCTTTAAAACACTTAAGCATTACAGCCCATTAGGAGTCGCATGCACTCACCCAGCCTTGGCTGTCTTCCTGCCAGCCACCCGTTTGGCAGTGTATCGCTTTTAGGCATGACTAAAAGGACTTCGCCTCTGCGGTGCGCAAGTGAAATATTCCAAATGCTTCCACTTCGCGCGGAACTCACACCACAACTCCAGCACTGGCGGCGTTCTTGCTATGGGCTGAAATCTCCAGCTCTTTGGTCATCAAAGTGTGAACTATTGTAGGCTCTTTTCCAGCCACATTCATCCTTTCTCACGACTTGACCCGCTGAACCTCATAACTGCTGTCGATGGTTTTATGGGTGTGAGTGCGAGCAACATCAAGTTTACGTCGATTGGGGCTGGTGGGCTATGTGAATTTGGTAAATATTCTAAGGAAGTTATGTAATTATATGTGTATGTATGTGTTGTACATTTCAAATGACGAAAGTTAAAATATTAAAAGTGAAATTTTGCACACTTATTTAACGGTTGACGATTCGTTGCTGTTCGTTGATGCAAGGAAAAAGTTTCCGAATGTGGAAAGTGTGAGTTTGGGAGAGAAGTTCAGAGTTGCATCGAGTATTTCGGAGTTTTTGTTGCTACTGCTTCTTTCTGTTTCAAGTCCTCATAAAGGTTTTAAGCTCAGACTTAAGTCTGTCATCTGCTTTTAATGCAACACCATATCGAGTCCAACACTAATCTATGTACAAACTGCAATCACTAGCTACCACGATGTCCACCAAGGCACCTAACGAAATAATTACTCACAAAAAACCTCTGTGGACGCCTAAGTTTCAAAGTATTCGATTAATACTCCGCCCTGATTTTGTAGCCGACTTACTGACCAGAACAAATTGAGTCTCCACACAGCTCCGGACAGATGAACAATCACTTCAAGCAACCGCCACAGCTTACCGCGAGCACATAAGTGGAACCTGATGAAGTTCACGCTTTAAGCTCTACAACAGCGTTCATTAAAACTTGTTCTGAAGAGGTTTTTTCCGCCGAGGTTTTCATAATCAGAGCGTAATGTGAGAGCAAGTCACAAGGTATGAGTGTATACTTGTCAGGTACCAACCAACAATACAAGCATTCAGAGGTACCAGGTCAGCACGCCTATTTAATTGTTTAATATTGATGCTGGTGACTTTCAGTTGGACAGAGTCTGAGCCGAACTTTGAAGTTTTTTTCTCTCAATGAGTTCATCATCTCATTTTCCTCTTCAACTCTGTGTTTCTTGGGTGAGGTGTGAATGCTAGTCTCTACCTGATTGCATCTGATACTTTCAAAGCTATGGTGCTGTCGTACATTCGGTGAGTACCTAAGCAGCGAAGCCGCTGTCTGTGGATTCACAACACAGTATACATAAAACTTTCGCAAAACTTTAATCGAATACTATTAAAGCCGACTGCTCTGTTGTTGTCATCTTCTGGTCCGCTGCGTTATACAGCAGGATGGGAACGATTAGTAGCTTGTAGAGTTTGGATTTTGTTCATCGAGAAAAGACTAGCCTTACTTAGTCCAATGTGACATCTATTTGTAGGATGTTTTTGGTGTTAATGCAGGTGCTTAGATAGACTTTAGATAGATCCAGAACTAATTGCACCCTCGCTGTGGGAATAAAACCACAACGCGCTCTGGCTTGACGGAAATGCGAGCTTAAGAGCTATCTCTCAAGAACTATCCCATGATAAGGCCCTTACGCTTCTGGAACATCATATCGTCTATCAAGCAAAGCTGTAGGCACTTATCTTCGGGAGTTGATTTCTGTGAAGCTTGATAAACTCTGAAAGTGTAAGGGTTGAGCAGTTACTCAATTGCAACTGGTGGAGCAAGACCAGCATGCAGGCTCTCAGAAGATAGTGGAGACATTAGACAGTTTCAGGATTCGAACCGTAGCCTTCCGAATGACAGAGCATAATGTTAAAAACTCGGCTATTTCTGCTGCTACCCGACCAATCGCCCAAGGACATGAAGTTGATTTTCAATAACGGAAATATTTTTAACAAAAATATGCACAAAAACAGCGTAGACTTTTTCTTTAAAATTAAATATTTAAATTTTTTTCAAATAAAAACAAAAATATTGGTCTTATAAGAAATATTTATATTTCAAATCGGTTGACGAAAACAACCCTCGAAGAGTTTTAAATTATGACTATTTTTAATACAAAAGTAAAAAGGACGATTTGCAATGAATTGCTCTTCAAAGCTCACTACACCATCAATGCAACAAGCTGTTGAAATTGAAAATTAATAAAAATTATTTTAAATAAAAAAATTTTTTTTTTCAATGATTTTTTACCCGTAGCTGCCGCAGCCTCCGTACCCTCTTCAGTCACATTGATATAAGCTTGTTGTATGATATTTGAGATACCGAAATTGGAAGCATTCTCCGTGAGTATGCCATTGAGGTCCTGGTTGGCGTGGAAGATGCCGCGCACACCGCACTGAGAGTTAGAAAGAAATAAAAATCAAACATTTTTAACTATTTTTTAATGTACTTTCCCCCCACAAACCTCCATTAGCAGATTATGCACATTCACTGTGCAATTAAATGTGAAACGCGGTAGATGAATATCGACTTTCCGAAACACCAACTGATCTATAACATCGCATAATTTCAGTTGCGCAACTTGAGCCAAATCAGCCGCCTCATTCGGCAACATCACCAACATGGCCAAGTCGGTATTGCGATAGGGCAACTTTATCACTTGCACCTGGTGTTCCTGCAAATAACCGTAGAGCACCGTCATTGTTTGGTTCATCATTGCGACGGGTAAACTCTGCTCAGCGCTGATGTAAAATTCTCTTTGACGCGTGTCGATCGGGTCGAATTGATGTTGCCACTTCGCTTTGAAATAGATCGCATTCGTCAACACCGTTTGTGTGTCGACGCCCACATCATTCGGCGATATTATGCCGGTTATACGTTCGTTGGTCGCTTGTCGCACCCATTTATTTATTACGTCCGCGGCCTGATGACGCTCTCCAAAATTAACTTCTTGTACGCCGCAAGAGTATTGCTTTTGAAGGGTTTCGAGAAAGCTGCCTTTTAGGCGTGTACCACTCTTGATAAATATTCGATTGGCTATTGTTAATATTCTCTGGTTTGCTGCCGTTTTTATGTGTCCATTTGTATATTCCATATTGGCGGGCAACATATAACGCAAATTTAGCTCCTCTAAATGTCTGTCGGTGATCTCCATTTCTGGTTCAATTAATTTTAAAAATGTCCTCAGCTCGATTCCACTCTCACCTTTAATGCCCACACAAAGCATTTTTAGCATTTCCCATATGAGGAAGGGTGATTCGATAACATTTGGGAACTGTTCGAGCAGTTTGCTGAAAATTATGTTCATTTTTGTTGAGGCTGAAAGGGAAGAGTAAAAAAAAATTTAGGTTTAGCAACAAAATAAGTTTTTTTTTTTTAAATTTCGAACGATGGTTTGACGACAAGAAGTGACTCCGTCCTCGAGTACTAGACCGCGTAAATGAAAATCACGTCGGGGTCTGCAGCAAAACTATTTTACGTCTGTAACCGGCTCTACGGGATAGAAAATTATATCGGCACCAAAGGTTGCTAACTTCCTAATCATCGCTTTAGCGCAACTCTTTCTGAGCCTTTAGGGGTTCTTTAGAATGTAAATGTAGCGACCTGCAGTTTATTTTAGCAGTCGGATGAATTTTTAGTGAAATTTTTATGAAATTTTCCATCAACAACCCGCAAAATAACTACTGTATGCCCTCAATACCTTCTCGAATTCCTGCTTTGAGGTCTTGAATCGACGTTGGCTTGTTGGCGTAGACCTTATCTTTCATGTGGCCCCAAAAGAAGAGGTCACTAGATGTTAAATCACAAGATTGCGATCACCACTTCGAGAGATAACATGGTTCGGAAACTTTACCCTAAAAAACTCGTCTAATTCGATGCTTATGTGAAGTGTAACTCCGTCTTGTTGAACATAATACCATCTAATTCCGGCCATAAAAAACGATCCCATTTTCGAAAAGGTAAGTTAGAATGACCCCGCCGGATTATAAATCGCACCAAACAGTTACAAGTTGGGGATGGAGAGACTTTTCAACAAGTAAGTTTTGTGTTTTCCGAGCCCCAGAGGTGACGGTTTTGCTTTTTGATGTCTCTATTGGGGTGCAAATGGACTTTCTTCAAGCCAACATGATGAAATTCCAGATCATTTTTATGCATTTCATGAAACCAATCAGCAAAGACACGATGTTGTGGATGATCAGCCGGCTTGAGTTCTAGTATTAACTGAACTTTATAAGCCTCATCGCCCAAGTCTTTATGCAAAATACGGTGTAATGACGTTTGTGGAATGCCCAAATTCCAAAGAACGACGAGGAAGGCACACGAGCAGCTATACTTTCAGTTGTTCCTGAGCTACGTACACGTGTTGCGTTATACTGAGGAATTAAACTGCTTCCTTGACGCCCGGAGATGTTGTAATCTGAGTTCTAAAATAAAGTTAGCAAAATGGCTATAGTACTGTACTTGTGCTGGGTCACACCCAAACCCCATTAACGGCATATGAAACAATTTTAAACGATGGCCTTAGTGCTCTCTCGCTAGGTATGGTATTCTTAAAAATCTTTAACCTCAGACAGATGATTGTCTTAGTAGCAACGTTTGGGCTCTTTAGAAAGGTACAGCTCAAAAGTGGGGAATCTACAGGAAGTAGTTTTCGCTCTAAGAACTTTGTCATGAAGTCTTCAGACTTCTTTTATATTTCCCTCTCGGACCTTGGAGTCCGATATATGTATATAGTGTGAGATTCACGAGAGTCAAGGGATCAACATGAACTAGAGATCACTAAAAGGGGTCCCTAGGTTCATATAGTATAAAACTGGGCCTGGCTTTCTATACTATATAAGAACAGCGCCTTCTTTTACCTTCGTTACTACTTAGTTGGAAGCAAGTAAAGCTAATTGATTGCCAACTGGGAGTCCAGCAACCATCTGTTTTGACGAGTGGGAACCAAGGAGGAAAGGATATTAGATTGGTTTAAAGGAACATGCAAAAAGGTGATTAATGTATAGCGGAGCGATCAATTGCTTTTGGACGTCGTACCTGTAAGGGTCGCGTCTAGATAGATAGGAGGTTTTCTGCTACAGTAATAAAACGTTTATTGGGTCAGGATTACCAGAGTCCCTCGAGACAACTCAGGCTTGGTCTGAAACTCGACTCTCTGTCCGAGGCCTTACGTACTGTCTATGAATTGTCTGCTAAGTATTGAGTCTATATAATCATATACATACGTCACTGTCACTGATGTTCCAGGTCGGTTTTGTTTCAAGCAGGTATCTGCAGGAATGATTAATACGATAACATTCTAGCAGATGCGGCCTGCTTTACATATAAATATGCTTCTCAACGGGAAAATGTCTCGCAGTGAAGGGAGTGCAAGCCATTCGATTCGATCTGAATTTCTCCGGTCGGCCTTGAGCATTCGCTTGCCCAACAAACTAATCCCATTGGGGTTTTAAAATTTAGACAAATATCAGGACATTCTGAGGCATACATTTAGTACATCCACAAAGGTCATTGGACAGGCTCATGCTAACAAAGGAGGCTCTACCTGTAATGGATTAACTGCCTGCCTGGCTTTTACGCTTTTCTACAAGTGGTTGCTCTTGCTGTCGAAGGTGCTTGCATGAGAAGAGGACATAGCATGTGTTCTAAATTTGTACATAGCACACAGATGTATGTGTGTATGTACGACATATTGTCCTTTGTATGTGAATATATTTTTATTTGTCTCAATATATATTAAGCTGCCGAAATTATCCGTACTGTAAGCTTCTAAAAATACCACGCACATTCAATGAGTTCATTGAACTAAACATGCCCAGACCACGAAAGGTGTACGAGCCTGTAGGATGTAGCGAACAGCACCGCCGTACACATACACATACACACGCAAAGAGAAATGCGACTGTGTGAAAGTAACTATGCGGGTCGAATTGAGACAACGAAAAACAAAATTGCAAGCAAAAAAAGCCTCAACACATAACCGACCAAAGGACCGACGACGAATGAGAGACGGTGTCTCACAGGACTACAACAAGAATCGGCTGGCTGGTTAGCTAACTGGCTGATTTTGTTGTGTCTGACGGCCGCAGCGGGCGTAGAAGCTAAAGGCTCCAGTAAAATAAAATATGTATGTATATATATATGCACACATATGCGTCGCGTTGTAGATAAGTCTAAAGCTTTATATACAAACGCATTACGCACGAAAGGATAATGGTATGTAGAGCCGAAAGGTTCTTGACATGGCCGGTCAGCCAGCCAGCCACGTCAGCCAGCCAAATCGCACGCACACGATGAAACAAATGCTTGTACATATGTACATCATGCGAGGGAGCCGTCTGTCGTTGTTGTAAGGCAGTCCTCTAGGCGATCGTCAGGCATTTCGGACAGTTAACTTATGTGAAGGATATAGATGTTGTTGTAAAATATATTGAATTGTATACAGTTATATGTGTATATAAACTGTATTAGTAGTCATATATATGCGTATATGCACATACACATGCAAAAACATAGAAAAGGCATGTAATTTGTGCAAATGCCGGCTGCAAGGATAATGAACTATCGTTTGGTTTTCGTATAATAAATATTTATATATACATATGTATGTAATTGCATACAAACAGAAAAGGAATTTTGGTAAAAATTTGTTTATTAAGATATTTGAAGCAATTTAGACGTACGTACATATAAATATATGCAACAACAACATAGTATTGTTATAATGTTATAATGTAGGAAGCTTTTGAAAATTTCAAAAAAAATTAAAAATTTTTAAACATTTCTTAAAGCAAGTGGAGATTATGGAGCACATAATCGTCGTCTAACTACTCAAGCAATTGATAAAAATTTAAAGAAAATTGAAGAGACTAAATCGGTAACAGGTATTGAAAGGTCTGTGCGATCGTTGCACCTCAAGTGTCGCTACTGTAAGTGAAAGTGTTTTCGAAGACTCGAACTGGGTCTACATCTCGACGTTCCCAAGAGCTGGGAACCTCTTGCAGCACATTATGGCGCTTAAATGCAAAGGGCATACACCTACATTGATACAAAAATGTCCAGCTCACACGTCTACTGAAGCTAGCCTCATTCACAACGCCGTACCTACGTCAATTGGGTGCTTGAACAAAAAACAGTGGACGTCGATTTATCGAACAAAATCTTTTTCGTCAACGAGGCACATTTCTCACACGCGAATAATCAAAATTGTTCATTACGGGAGGAATTTCTCGACCGCGTAATCTCTCGTCATCGATCATGGCGTTGGATTTTTTGTAGGCCTCGCAAAATACCGTGTTTATGTGGAAAAAATCTCTTATTCTTTAGCACTTGAAAGCTAAAGTTCTTTAAATTTTGGCTGAGACACTACCCAATATGTGGCAGAAAGTGGTAGAGTATTGTAAAATTACCTCAAACGGATCGAGGTTTGCCTAGGTGCAAAAGTTATAATTAAAAGGGAATTTAATGAGAAAAATTATTTTAAATGTATTTTATTTACTTTTATTTTGCAAAATGGCATTTTAAAAAAATTAATAATTAAAAATTCGTTTTGAGCTTATCCTAAATGTAGGTAACTTTTTATTTCTTAAACCGAAATTGCCAAGAATTCGACTGTTAAATGAGACTATCCCGAAGGCAATTGGAAGTTTAGGTAAAAAAATGTGAACCTCGTGGCGTGATATATTTACTTTCCAAGCATGGGTTGGTTTCACACAAATGACACCACATTCATATTACTGCTAGTTACACTACATACGACCTAAGCTCTGGGCAGCTAAACTTCCTGTTGTGTCTCCAGTTTGAGCTACGTTGCTATTGTCTGATAGCAAATTGAAGCGATCGTTTTGGACGTTCATAAAATGCTCATCCAGATCTCGCCGAGTGAGATTAACCTCTGCCTACAGAACAACCTCGGTCTCACAAAATACGTGCTACCCTACATCCCCAAATACCCTGGTTTTATGCCATTTGATCAGATCTAATTTAAGGCAAGCGTCGAAATCAAAACATATTTAGCAAGTTTTTTTTTTTTTCGTTTCCAGCCCCTACCAATTTGACGATAAAAGATGTTTTTTTTACTGAAAGAAAAAGATCTGCTTTCTGCAATAGTTCTAGTTCATAGAACCTATTTGGGCTTGTAAGGCGCTACATTGAGTTGAGAATAACTTTTATGGCTTTGATGGGATTTCTATTGTACCTGTTAGTAGCTTTCTGAAAATCAACCCGGACGATACATGAATGCAGTAGATTATATTGAAGTCGAACTGATGACAACGGATATCTTTATTTCGAGTGATAGTCAGGAAGTGATTGAGTCT